GCAACTCACATTAAAAAGGAGCAGGGCTTTGATCACTTGATTCTACCAATCACTTTGACACTGTCGATATTCTCTACTGACGCCCCTGGCTCTGATGTCCGTAATCAGGGAATGGGCTATTGAATAATAAATTAACATTGTTATTAGCAATCAGGTCTCACCAAAGCTAAAAAGGAGTTGAATGCTAAAGCACGCTATTTGATGCTAATACTAAAGAGTGAGCAATGCTGTGCAGCTGGACATGAGAATTCTGTTCACATGCATTGTGGTTTAGTGTTTCTGCAGAATGCAAAATCTCAGATCCAGAGAACCTGACTTGCTTCTCAGAGTGTTGTCTATAGAGATTCTCAAGTCATCCAGGTCATGGTTATCCCAAAGGTGCTTTTTTCAAGAGGCAACTGGACTTTCTGGTTTTTCTTTGAAGACGTTTTGCTTCTCATCCAAGAAACTTCCTCAGCTCTTCTTCCCACCATCCAGTCAGAGCTGAAAAAGCTTCTTGGATGAGAAGTGAAACGTCATTAAAGAAAAAACAAAGACCAGTTGCCTCTTGAAAAAAAGCACCTTTGCGATTTGCAGATTGTTGTGTTTGTATGTTGCAATAATGCTGCCAGACAGCGTTATCGGCTTTGCCAGTTCTGTGTTTAAGTCTGTGTTCTTCTACAGGCAATCAGTGATGCCTGAGCTGAGAATATCAATTATTTGGGTGATGGAGAACAGTGGTGGGGTGCAAAACTTACTGAATCAGGATTGACGTCTCCCCTTTGTTTTTATCCTTTTCAGCATGATGAAGAGTGAAAAGTTGTGCAAGGCTTTTAATTCTGCAACTTACCGTATTTTTGGAGTATAAGACGCACTGGAGTATAAGATGCACCTTAGTTTTTGGGGAGGAAAATAGGGGGAAAAAATCCTGCCTACCAGGTATTCATCTGGCTAGCATCCTTAGTCTGGTCAGCTTCAGCACATAAGTTTGCTGGTTTTGAGCACGCACCTGGTTGGGGATAAAAAACAGCTTGTAAAGCACAGCTGATTGTTG